TGAATCGGAATCACTAACCTCAACATCCGAAGAATTGTTGTTATTTGCCATCAAGCAAATGTTTGCTTCAATTTCTCGAGTCACTTGATTCTGAATTTGAATCACTCGTCATCCCAAGCAATATATGCTTTCTTCTTGAATTGCTTTTTGCCCTTATGTTCATCATTTTTCTTGTTTGGGCATTCGGTCTTCATATGCCCCGCTTCACCACAACCAAAGCATTTTATATTAACGGAAGAATTTTCTTTTACCTTTCCCTTACCTTTGAAAGGATGTCTTCCTTTTGCTTTCATCATCTTGGTGAACTTCTTTATAAAAAGACTCATCTCTTCTTCATCAATTTCGGAGTCTTCTTCTTCTTCTTTCTTATTATTGCTTTTTGAAATCTCGGTTTTGAAAGCAAGGTTCTTCTTTTGATATTGACCCTCTTCCTCATTTAGTCTTCCAAGGTCAAGTTCATGCTCCCTAAGCTTTCCAAACAACGCCGCCATAGACATAGTGGCAAGATTTTGTGACTCCGAGATGGCCGTCACCTTTGGTTGCCATTTCCTATCCGGAGATTTCAAAATTTTAACATTTAATTCATCAACGTCAAAAATTTTACCTAGTCCTAGTGAGATGGTTCACGATATGAGTGAAACGTTTTTGTACGTCAAGTATCGTTTCGCCTGGTTGCATCCGAACATTTCGTACTCTTGAATTAGAGAATTTTTACGTGCTCTTTTGACGTCGTCAGCTTCCTTCGTGGGTTACTCTAAGCATTTCCCACATTTCCCGTGCACTTTTACAAATAGAAATTCCGTAGAACTCATCAAGGGTTAGAGCAGATGAAATAATGTTTCTAGCCCTAACATCAAATTGTACTTTTCGACTTTCGTCTGCAGTCCATCTATCAAAAGGTTTAAGAACGTCAACACCGTTCTCGTAATTTTAGGAACAAATGGACCGTTTAAAATTGCGTCCCAAACACCTCTATCAACGAGACTCTAAAAATATTTGCATACGTACTTTCCAAAAAGGATAATTTTGACCCGCAAAAAGTGGGGGTCTCGTTGATAGACGCACCTTCGGCAAAAGTTTGATTTTGTCCGGCCATTTTCGAAAAGTTTGAATGACTATCAAAGCAAGCTCGATACCACTTGTTAGAATCGCGTAGCGGAATGTTCGCGTGGTCGGACAAAAACCAAGAGGGGGGTGAATTGGTTTCTTAATAAAAATTAGGTTTTCAAAATTTCCCCAAATTTTACCGATTAAAAACTGCGTAAATGTAAATAGAGAAGAGTAGAGAAGATTACACAAGTAGGTTTATACTGGTTCGGATCAAAAGACCCTACGTCCAGTTGCTAATCACTCAAAAGAGGATTAACGCTGTCACTAAGAACAAAGTTGTTACAACACAAATTATAATGAAAAAGATAAAGTTAAAGATAAAACCTCTCTTGAAATCCACAAGAGATGATAAACAACTTTTCCTCGGAGACGGCACAAGACACAATCCACTAAGAACTCCACTTAGTGATTCTTATCGCTTCTAGCCTCACACCAAGTTTCCAAAAGCCCCGAAGAACAGCTTTTCCCGGAGATCAGACAAAGACTCAATCCACTAAGAACTCCACTTAGTGATTCTTATCGCTTCTAGCCTCACACCGAAGTTTCCAAAAGCCCCCTTTCCTTGCAACAAACAGCTTCTCCGGCACTCACAAGCACTTAACTTTTGTATGGAAAGAGTTGTTCTTTAGTTGTTCATTTATTTTCTGAGTGCCAAAGCAGAGTTTAAGTAGGGAAATTCGGGTTAAGGAATTGGGGATTTCGAAACTAGGGTTCTTGGTAATTGGGTTTTCGAAAATAGGGTTAATTTGAAATTTAAAAACAAAAACAGATCGAAATAATCGATTAAATGGAGTTTTAATCGATTAAAACAGAGCCAAATACGCAGAACCCAATCCTCTTCGGTTTAATCGATTATTTGGTGAAATAATCGATTATTTGACCTTTTAATCGATTATTTTGATGTTTTAATCGATTAAAACAAGTGAGTATATGCTTGAAAATGGTTTTCTCATCGTTTTAATCGATTATTTCCCTATATAATCGATTAAAGCCGAGCCTGCATGATAAATTTGAGCATTTTGAAGCTTCTAAGTTACGGACTATGTACCGGCTATCTTAGACTCTATAATTACAGACTCAATCAAACTAAAACAGAGTTATTACAATACAGAAAACATCAATCTTCAATCTTCAATACTCTAAGTCTTTAAGCTCTTGGATCATCATCAAAATCAACACTCTTCATGATCATTATTTGCAACATCAAGTCCTTGAATGTTCAACAGACATGTTTTCATGTTGAAGAGAAAATGACACAAATTCAGTCACACCATTTAAAAATGCATCAGTATACCCCTTTCGACCAGGTACAAGTCTATTATACATCTAACTACGATTTTCACGAACATCCATGTTCTATCATATGCCAACAAATGACTTATTTTAATAAATAATATACCATATAATTATCCCCAACATAATTACATTTTAATAAAACTTCTAACAGAAAATTTATAGGCCTTGCTAGAAGTTATACCTCTACCACTAAAATTACCCATAGTATGAAGATATTGACGGTTGGAAACATAAGATGGTGGAAGTATATGTGTTTGAAGAACTTAACAACGCATTACGAACTGATAACTGTACAAATAAAAAATGGATAAGAATTAGAAACTGTATAAATAATTAGTCCCATAAATATGAGAATATGAGATCGAACTAAAAAAATGGACAAGAACTCTAAAATAAATAATACCTCAGATATGAGAATATGAGATCGAACTAAAAAAATAAATATATTTGAGATAAAAACTATAAAAAAACATTATTATTCATATTTTTCTCTCTTCGAGTGAGATACAATCATGTAACTTGACAAATTATATTTATCTAGAAGTCAAATTATTTTAATAGAAATGTTAAATGACCTTTAACTTTTTTTTTTCTATTAATTACACATTATAAATATACAAAATAAGCATTATAATCATGTAACTTGACAAATTAAAATCAATATTCAAAACTTTATTTACCTTTCAAAATATTTCTTATTCATGCGTAACAAACAGATGAACCAAACAAATGAAATTTATATCTAGAATTTATTATTTTTTCTAAATTACACACACACACACACACACATATATATATATATATATATATATATATATAATATAAAATATGTTATCAAATTAATTTATTCTACATATATTTTTTAATTAAATAATATTATTTTTATTTTATTTTAAAAATAATTATTATTTTATAAAATAAATCAATTCATAAGTCTATGGGTTAGTCTAGCTTAGGCCCATTTAGATCATAACATATACAGAGTTAAACCAATTTTTTTTTACTTAGCTTTACCTCCCAAAATGATTCCTATTTATGTGCAACAAGGAGATGAACAAAGCAAACAAAGTTTATCTCTTAGATTTTTTTTTTAAATTACATATATATATATATATATATATATTATCAAATTAATTTATTTTACATATATTTTTTAATAAAATAATATTAATTTTGTTTTATTTCAAAAAATTTATTATTTTATTAAAAAATATATGTAAAATAAATTAATTTAATAATATTAGACCTGAATAATCAACTCGTTTCCCTAGTAGGGTCTCGTGAAATCTTCTCTTTTTGCCCCCGATTATATCGTAACATGATTTGTAAACCTTATTATGACCGTCCCTCATCGGTTGTCCGTGCATTCCATTATTAAGAAGCGTATCCACGACTTCTTGTACCAATTTCTTTTTGACACATTACTAATTCTCTCGACCCAACCGAAATGAGATTATATACATTCTCATTATGAGAAGGAATCATTCGAAGTGTATCTAAACAAATACTATGTTTATATATAGATATTTATGTCTATTCTATTTAAGATTAATAATACGTGTAATCGACACTGTTTTTCATATATCTCTAATTATTTAGGACCCTATTAAATTCATCTCTTGGGGCTTCTATTGAATCGATAAATAAATTTAATTAGTCTATTTTTTTATAAAATGGGTCATCTCATAAGTCTCGTGACTAGTCTAGTCTAAATCCATTTAGATTATAACCTAAATAGGTTAAACCAAATTTTTTTGTTTAACTTAACTTATTTTTAATCTTTAGACTTGATTCATACCACTAAGCCTATTTTAAAATCGAGAAACATTTGTCATATTTTGATTTTCAGCATTTTTGTTTGGTCACTTTTAAATTTTTGTTTTGGACTTAAATAATAGGTTTAAATATATTGAAAATGATTAAGTTTTAATTTCAATTATTTTTGAAATTTTATTTTATTTTTTAAAATATAAAATTAATAATTTTTATCTTAGTATTATATAATACTAATTATCATAATAATAAATGTTAGTATTATAATATAATATCAAATATGTGACATACAAAAACTTTTAAAATTGATGTTATTTATATATTTTAAAAAAATTGAAAATTTACGAAGAGTAAAAATCGGAAAATAATATTTGATAGTAACTAAATTCAAAATTCATTCATTATATCTTGAAATTAGGTGATTTTAAATTGTATAGGAATGAAAAATGGAAAAATTGTTAATATTAGTGAGAAGCCTAAATAAAAAATAACTTTTATAGTGTTTTTCAGTTTTGTTTTGTTTTGTTTTGTTTTTTTTTTGTCTCTCTCTCTCTCCACTGTGTATCTCTCTCTGTATACCTTTGCGCCTTCTAAATTGTTGGCGACTCCAATAACCCCTTCAAGTTCCCTAATTGCCTGTAGTGCAGGGTACACATGCCTTCCCTTAACCTAATATCTCTCTTATTTTACCCTTTGTTTATGGGACAATCATACCATCTTCTCCTTTTCTTCCTTTTACTGAGATGCTATTCTAGTTGGGTCATTTTGAATCTTTTTCATTTTTTGATTGTATCTACTTAGTTATTTGTGTGTAGGTTTTAATGGGTGCGATTGATTTCTACCACTCTGCTGCTTTGTGCTGGTTAAGGTCCAACACCACCAATCTGAGGCAGCAAGTGGGTTGGCCACCAAAACCCATTTGTTCATTTGAGGGGAATCAGAGGAAGTTTGTGGCAATGGCTTCTACCATTCCTGTGGAGCAAGTTAACAATGGTCCTCTGCAGGTGACAGGTGACTCCTTCATCAGAGAGCATCTGAGGAAGTTGTCTCCTTATCAACCCATTTTGCCCTTTGAGGTTTGTGTATTCAAAAGTCAACTCCTTTCGATTTTGTTGGTTCTTTGTGACTACTCCAACAATGTTTAGTTTTCCTGATTTTTCTGGGAAATATTTGACTTTTCTTTGCAAGAATTTTGGCCTACCTCACGTAAGATACTTGTGTAGTTGTTACTTTAAAATTGAAGATATATGTTTATTTCTTCTTGTACCTTGTGGCATTATTGGTTCTTGCTCTAAAATAGTATTTTATCCTGTGAGATTGGTTGGTTGCTTGCAAATGCACTGCACTCAAATTACAAGTTTTTTAACTTTAATTTTGTCTCTCTACCTGTTGTTAAGAGACGTGGAGTTTGGCATTTGACACTAATTTTTATAACATTTGCCATGGATCCCTGGCTGCAGCACTTGTCTGTGGTTACTTTAGTGGGAGAATTGTTACGCCACAATGCAAGTTAGTTAAAAAGAAGAAGCTTTTTATTGTAGGTTTTATCGGCTCGTCTTGGACGGAAGCCTGAGGATATTGTCAAGTTAGATGCTAATGAAAATCCTTATGGTCCCCCTCCAGAGGTGAGTTTTATTATATTTTAATGTTTGTAATTTCCATAGTATTGAATAAAAGTGGAGAATGATTATCTGGTAGTATGATGTTTAACAATGTCATGGTGATTGATGGTAATGTTATTCTTCAAATTTTAAAGTTTTAAATATTTTCTAAGCTATGCTCGAATGTATGCAAAAATATTGCTGAAAATTACACCCTTTATTACCCTTGAGTTGACTATAAGAGGTTTGACAGGTCATGGAAGCCCTAGGATCCATAAAGTTCCCATATGTCTATCCTGATCCAGAGAGTCGCAGATTGCGTGCAGCCCTTGCCCAAGATTCTGGACTTGAAGCTGAATATATTCTTGCGGGATGTGGTGCTGATGAGCTTATTGATTTGATAATGCGGTTAGAACCAATATCTTTTCTACTTTAGATAAGCCTCAAATTCATTTTCTCTTCATGCTAGTTGACAATGACGATGATACATGCTTCTCTATGAATACTACAGTTGTGTGCTTGATCCTGGTGACAAGATTGTGGACTGTCCTCCGACCTTCACAATGTATGAATTTGACGCTGCAGTTAATGGAGCATTTGTTATCAAAGGTAGCAAAAGATTACCTAAAGATAGCTATCAAAATGTATTATTTTAAGAAAAAAATATAGATTGTTTTATATTTGTCAATGAGAAACTAATATCTGCAAAACTGATTGAACCTTAGACAGTAAAGGGGTTTCTCAAGAAATCAATTGGAGATCTTCAGGCTCACCAGATAAAACTGTTCCTATCATGATTTGAATCCTTCTCTGCTTGTCCAATGTAAACATACAATAGGCCCTAAACCAATTAACAGTTTTATTATTGTATTGTGGGTAATATCTCATGATTATAGTTACATTATTATTTTGTTAGACTTGTCTACCAAAATGATCTTTGGTTTTATGGCCGGTTCATCCCTTTTATTTTTTTAATATTCCTTGTGTTCCCAGCAGTCTATGATTTTCTTACTATGCCATGTCAGATGTGCATAACCATCTGCAATATTTAAACTGCAGTTCCAAGGAACCCAGACTTCAGTTTGAACGTTGAACAGATAGCAGAAGTTGTTAAACAAGAGAAGCCCAAATGCATATTTTTGACATCTCCAAATAATCCAGATGGGAGGTAAATGTCAATTATCCTTTCTTACGCCAAGGTGAATAGTTAGAAAATTTAGGGTTTAGAAAATTTTCAGTTGTATGGTAGTGGTGCTTTCTTTTTCAATTAACTTGTTCTTCAAATCTACTGGAGTTCCTTGTGCACTTATCTTTTCAATTGTGCTTTTGGTCTGTCACAATATAGTTACAGATTGATATGATTTTGCTAGCCAATATAAACTGGGAAATACAATCATTAATGTATTGGATAATGAGTTGAGATATATTTTCATGAAAACTATGCTTCCCTATTAGTATACTGTAATAGTCACTTGTAGTGTCTTTTGTGTATGGATTGGGGTACTCCTTGTACCTTTGGGTGTAATATACTTATTTTTTGGCCGACAAAAAAAAGAATAGTTGCAATATTATTATAGTGTCCTATCAGAAGTTGTACCACAATGAAGGCAGTATATATATTTTTTTTAATCAGCAATCCGAAGTAAGGATTTAGTAAGGCTGGAGATGATTGTTATATCATTTATATGATGGAAATTTGAGTTTCTTTTGTTTGCTTATGATCTGGTATATATTGATTTAAATCTTATAATTTTGTGACAGTATAATTGATGATGAAGTTCTCTTAAAAATACTTGACCTTCCCATATTGGTGATACTGGATGAAGCATACATTGAGTTTTCAGCAATTGAATCAAGGATGAGTTGGGTGACGAAACATGAGAATTTGATTGTTCTTCGGACATTTAGCAAAAGAGCTGGTATGCATCCTTTTTCTTTCCCCATTTTACACTAGTAAACTTGAATGAACTGAGAATTCATGTTTTCCCCTTATTATAATAATTTTATTTTATTTTGAAAACTGTTCCCTTATATAATCTGATCAAACTCTAATAAAACTATTTTTTTCAGGCTTCATGTCTGTATGCTAATACATGCATTTTAGTTGATAATTTGATATTAGTATATTGTTCTTTATTTTATTGTCTGAAGTATAATCTCTGTGTGGTTTCTTTTCTTATGGAGAATTATAACAGGGGTTAAAGCCTGGTGGGTTTAGGTTAAATTTGACTTAAGCTAAATATGTAGAAGTGAAAGTTTTATTTAATAGGATTGCTTTAGAAGAGATGGTTGGGGACAGGGCCAATGAATCATAATAGCAATTTCACTTAAAACTGTGACACCCATTGCGACTGTGATTGCAATTTTCACGGAAGCTGCAATGTGATGCCATGGTGGTAGTGGATCAGCATGGATCCCGACAGTATAGCCTCTATTCAACAACACTGGTAATTGAACTTTTAGCTGAATACTAGTATAATAGTAAATTGTCTTGAACATCAATATTTTGACTAAGCATACACGGGGTAGTAACAAATAGAGCTTTGGATGGTTGTTGAAATTAGTTGCTTTTAGGTATAGAGGGAGGAAGATAGATGAAAAGAAATATGAAATTGATATTAAGTGAGATGTATTATATTGTGTTGATTTCATCTTAAAACTAAGACCGCTAACCCTTGGTGATATTTAATCATAATCCCAATACTAATTATGGAAACAAATCATGAGATAGGGAAATAGGATAACCAACAATCCTAGGAGATAATGTGAAATAGACAAACTATTCCTAATGGATGATTTAATATAATTTGAGAAACATACTCTATAAGATATTTTATATAGTTTTACACCCCTCAAGCCGCAGCATTCTAAGCTTTGAGCTTGTTATATCTATAAATTTTAAGAAAAATCAAACAATATAATTTATGATTTTAGAATGGTGGGATCATGATGATTTGCTGGGGAAGCTGCAGGGGCAGGATGACTCCCTAGGATAGCCATGTTTAGGCCAGACTGATTTTTCTGGGAAAATCATGGGGTTAGGATGAGTCAGTCCTCTGCAATCCCACATTGCATGATCTGAACCAAAGAAGGCAGATTTGAGTACAAGGTCAAATGGAGAGAGAACAAAAGGTACCAAACCTGGCAAAAACTTGTGAAATGGGTCACAAGCCCGAAACTGACAAACCATGTGCAGATTTGGGACAGGAAGGCTGCACAAATCTGGCAAGGGTGAGATCAGCTGAAGCATGGCTAAGATACAGACAGCTGGGTCTTGTGTTTATGTGTGAACTCTGCTTGGGCAGGGCCTGATAGAGTTTTGCTGGTCTTTAGGATGGCAGGCTAGATCTGACAGGTGATGGGTGGAAATGTAGCCAAAAAAAGTTACAACTAGTACACAGTGGCAAAAGATGTTGAAAAAAAGTCATAGATGGAAAAATAGAGGTTTGAATTTGTCAGAATGATGAGATGGTGGTAGAGGACTGGCAACAGTGTTGAAAAACTATATGAAGCACATTGGAAACATACACAGTTGAGGTGAAAGGAACTGGATTGAAACTCAGCTGGAAATTATCCAAAACTTGTCAGTTAAAGATCCTGAAATCAAAGAAGATTGGATAGAAGCTCTTTATGACGCTTGTTGGAGTGAACAAGAGCCAAAAATGTTGTATATTTAGTCTAAACATAGGATTGGAATGGGAAGCAGAATGTTTATGAGTTGGATTGGAATGACTTTCAGTTAGTAAATGTTTTTAGACCTCAATTTTTTGGACCAAAACTGAATTACCAACAACACCACTCAACAAATCAATTTTTCTTTGTAAATTTTCAGTGTATGGATTAGATACTGATGCTTCATATATTTGTTTATTCAATATGTATAAAATCTTGTCACACTGATTCTTGAGGTCCTTGTCCTAATAATGAAAACCATTTAAATTCTTAATTTTCAAATTGGCTCAGGTTTAGCTGGACTTCGAGTAGGATATGGAGCTTTTCCTTTGAGTATAATTGAGTATCTTTGGAGAGCAAAGCAGCCATATAATGTCTCTGTTGCTGCTGAAATTTCTGCATGTGCAGCATTGCAAAATCCTACCTATCTAGAGGTTTTTCATTTGTACCTTTGCATTAACACATGTATGTTATGTTAATTGGTTATACACTAGTACATTTGGTTTTTTAAAAGTTGTTATAAGAGTTTGATAGTCCTTAACACAATTGGGTCCAGCACTGTCACATGTATACGTATGCTGGGTGCAATTACAAGATATACAAATACTAAAGTAACCTTCACCTTTTACTCGTTTATTACCTGTTATTATTGTCAACACAATTGAAAGCTAATGTGTCAGTCTTAATATACAGAATGTAAAAAATGCTTTGCTGAAAGAAAGAGGGAGGCTTTATGACCTTCTGAAGGAAGTTCCATTCCTTCGGCCATTTCCAAGCCATTCTAATTTTATTCTAAGCGAGGTTACATCTGGAAAGGATGCAAAGAAGCTAAAGGTAATCTTCCTTTCCATATCTCTGTACATATAAACTATTTCTTTATTCATTTTTTCTAATAAACGTTTGGGACAATTATTGTATGGTGAAACTTTTGATACTTCATTTCAATTTGGTATTTTATTTGACAGACATTTCTCCTGTCCCCCAAAATTAACATTCTGATCTCCTTAGTATAATCACCGCTTTAAAGAATAGTTAGTTTACTAATCTTTTTTGCTACCCTAGGTTTTCTGATGATTGATTAAATAACCCTACTTCCAAATGTATTGGACATACTTTTCATTGTGTTTATGCATTCTATCATGAGATGTGGCCATCTTAAAAATGCTGGATGCAATGTATCAGATAATACCAAGAATTAATCTCATAAAAATCTACATTTTATCAGAAGATAACCGTCTCTATCGTAGAAATAAATGATCATTACTCTTGGGCATCTTATATATATATATTTCATAAATGGAGATTGTACTTGTTCCAGGAAAGGGTTTTCTTTACCCCATTTTCAATATAGTCACACCATTTACATAGAATGAAGGAGATGTTTAAAAGGATTGAACGCAAACCTAATTCCAAATTTATCTTTCTTATTTAGGCTTATCAACACATATAGGGAAATGCGTTTTCTTTTAATTTCAGAAGACTTGACAGAAACTAAAGTATAGAAATTTGGATTCTTCATCTTTATTCCATTGCTTCCTTTGGGGAGGGAGATTTGTGGCTGATATATAGTTGGTGGAGGTTAGCCATCTTCAGTCTTCAAGGTTTCTTATGCATTTTAGTTCACTTCAAAATTCTATTTTCATTGAGAAGATTTGGTGAATTTCACGGAGTAGTGAATTTAAAAGGGTCTGTTTGTTTAAGATTTTTTTCATTAAAAAATATTTTTTTTAAATAATCACTTTTTAAAAAGACAATCATTTTTATGTGTGTTTTTTACAACTTTTCAAATAAGAAAAAACTGAGAAGAATCAGAAATCTGATTATAATCAAAATCTATTTGAAACAACTTCTCATAAAATAACATCAGTTACTTTTTTAAGAATGTTATTCTGATAGTAAACAAATATGATTCAAACTTCCCTTTTTTTAAAAGAAAACAACGTCTAAACTATTTTATACTAGAATCACTTCATTTGTAATCTTGAACAAACTGACTATAATTTCAGAATGGACGAGCTTTTCCTTAGGGAATAAAAGTAAGAATAAAAAAAGGGGACATGAGATTCTCCATGAGTTCAAATTAATTTATACACAAATTAAAAATAAAAATTTACAGAAATCATGAGAATATTTTTTTTTCCTAGAAAAGCTCGTAGAGAATCTCATCTAAAGATACCCTAAAAGGAGTAAGGCTGTGAGACTCAAGCTATTTGACAAGAACCACATGAATTTCATCCAATATTGAAGAATGTGCTACAATGCTTGTGTTACTTGCATATCTTATTGAGAAATGTTAGAGCCTTTTGATTCAACTTTTCCAACACCAACCTTGAGAAATTATTTGTGTGTATATAGGAGGACCTTGCACAAATGGGTGTGATGATTCGTCACTACGACAAGACAGAGCTGAAAGGGTACGTTCGTGTAACTGTTGGTAAGCCTGAACAAACAGATGCACTTATGAAGTGTCTCAAGAAACTGTCGTAGGAGCAAAATTTGATGTCATAAATATTGTAACAAGTAATGTAATTGCTGAACTTCCCTTAGCTAATATTTATATATATATAGCCTTCAAAATTAGAAGAAAATATGTTAATTATGGAAGGGAAGTGGACTAGCTTGATACATGTTATTGGCAGCAAAAATGCATCATGATAAAGATCATGTTTTGCAATTTGTTTTTGATTATATGTTTGCAAATTGTTGAAGTTTCATAATCTGTATGCTTGTATTCCAAATCCTTTTTTGCTATGCTTTTCTTGTCTCCTCATTTTTTGGGTCAATCTTTGTCCTGATGTCAGACTTGCAATTGCTTCTACTTCATTTTCTATTAACTATGGCTGATTATTTCTTCAAGTCACAAATGTCTTTTCCCACCCACTTTAACGTTAAAAGGAAAATCCCAAGATTACTCTTATGTAGACACTTCATTCTAGAATGTATTTTTTTTATTTTGAAATCTTTGTTTGCAAATGTTTGTTTTATATTTCAAAATGATCATTGGAGAATGCATATTTGCAAATTAGAATATATACGAGATTGATCATTGGAGAATGTATATTGTTGAAAATGCAAGGATATGATGTCTAAATATTTTGATGATGATACAAAAACAAAAGACTTCAAGATTAGAAGACTTATACACATTTGTAATTGTTTGTAATAACTTTGTTTAGTCAACTTGAAAGGTCTAAAAGGTCCCTAAAATTGATCAATAGGCCCGATATTAGAATAAGAAGGATTTTTGTATGCGAAAAACAAGAAATTCCACCTAAAAGGCCGAGTTCGCCATCTTGTTTGGCGAGACCGCCGTCTCGCAATTCACTAATGGCGAGAGCATCGTCTTGCCAATCGCCAAGAGACGCCCGTCTCGCCACTTGCCGAAGGTGAGACCACCGTTCCGTTTGGCAAGACGGGGGTCCTGACCTTGTCAGGCTAGACGGCGGTCCCGACCTGATAGGCGCAAATTTCTATAAAAAGGGGGAATTTCCTCACTCTTTTCACATCATTCTTCCACTTTTCGTTCTGCAATTTCTTCGAATTATTCTCCTAGGATCTCTCTGAAGCATTTCCAGAGTTTCTTAGTATTCTTAGAGAACATTCTGTAGTGTTGTGAGGAAGAGCAATCAACATTGTAGAGTGGGAGATTGTCAAAAAGCACCCTATTTTCAAAGAATTCATATAATAATCTTGCTTCGAAGGTTCCTACACCCTCTCTTCCCTATTTTACTGCTTTCTTAGATAGTATTGTTGTGCATTAATTACTTAGGGTCATGTAGTCAATATTTTAATTTTTGCAATAAATAAATAAAGGGTAAAAACGCAATTTATAGTTTTTATTTCTTCATATAAAAAAGTCCATCATAGGGAACTTGTCGCCGCTGTCTTAAAAGACAAGGCGGTCGGAGCGACGCGATGATTTTTCGACCCTTTTATTTTTCGCGTTTTTTATAGGTGGTTACAATGCCTTTAGGCTGTCCGATAACCGGGCTAACCTAGGGGCGAGGTTTTCAAAAGGTGTCCTTGGGTTGTTCGATAACCGGGCTAACCCAAGGACTTGTTTATTTTGGGTTCTGTGGAGTCGCCACCGACGTTTTTACCGGAAACATCGGAAAATGTTTTTAAAAGGCGTTGGTTTTCGAAAACTAACTTTGGTCATTAGAACCAGAGTTGGGTAAGGGAGTTAGTTACGTGGTAAAGGAAGTATTAGTTCCTTTACTACGTCCCTTTGGGGTTCCCTATGACAGGCCAGCTTTTTATGTTAATAAATAAACCGGAAAATACTCTTTTGCCCTTTTTATTTTGCAAAATTTAAAGTGATGACTACATGACCCTAATCTATTGCATAATTAAAATTGAAGCGTTAAAAGTAGAGAGGGAGAAATTAAACCTCCGAAGCAAGCTTTGTTTTATATTTCTCTTTGAAAAGAGGGTGCTTTTTGGCAGCCCTTCACTCTACAAGACGTCGGAAACTCTTCTATACGCCGAAAAAAGCTCTTAAAGACACTCAGAAACTCCGGAAATGCGTCGGAGGGATTCTAGAGAGAAGTTTTTAGAGAGAAGGCAGAGCTAATGCTTGAGGTGTGTGGAAATGAGGGGGGGAGGACCCCTATTTATAGGTTTTCGCGCTGTTAGGTGGCGAGACCGGCGGTCTCGTCTGACAGGGTCGAGACCGCCGTCTTGCCCTGCGCAGGTGGCGAGACCGCTGTCTCGTCAAGCGAGACGGCGGTCTCGCCACTTGCATGAGGCAAGACGGCGGTCTGGGAAATCCAGACGGCGATCTCGTCCCAACAAGGCGAGAAAACTTATTTTTTGCACAGAAACTTCCTCCTATCCTAGTATGGGGTCTAATAGTCTCTCCTAATGGCTTGTTAGGCTTTGTCCGTCTTCAAATAGGAGGTCTCCTGGTCTTTTATTTGGAGGCCGGGCAAGATTTGGGGTCTACAGCTGCCCCCCCTTTACCTGACTAGTCAACTGTTGGTCTGTTGTGCCAGACAGATTGACAGGAAGGTAAAGGAGTTGGCCCTCTTGCCCGGTTGCCCTTCAGATGTTTCGTCTATGCGGCGGGTGATCTTCTGGGGAAAATTGTGTATTCGTGCACTTCCGGGATACTCTTTCTGACGGTAGCCGATCCCTTCGGTGGACACGTGGTAAAACCTTAGGATACTCCTTCTGACGGTAGCCGATCCTTCGGTTGATGGGTATAAACCCCCCATCAGGCTGGTAGTTGCAGTCCGTTGTGTGGGACTGGATGGGTATGAACCCCCCATCAGGCTGGTAGTTGCAGTCCGTTGCGTGGGACCTGGATGGGTATGAACCCCCCATTAGGTCGGTAGTGCGACTTACCGATCCAGGCTCGAGCGTAGATCGGGCGCAACGCGTGCGCAGGTTGATAGGTATAAACCCCATATCAGTCGGGTACGATCCATCGCGTAGGACCGGTGGTAGTGGCGACTTATTGTTCGGGTGGCCCATGCGCCGGTTGGGCACTCCTTGTGTGCCTGGTTGATAGGTATGAACCCCTATCCGGTCGGGTACAGGTCCACTCGCGTAGGACCGGTGGTAGTGGCGGCTATCGCTCGGGTAGCTCATGCGCCGGTTGGGCACTCCTTGTGTGCTTGGTTGATAGGTATGAACCTCCTATCTGGCTGGTACAGTCCACTGCGTAGGACTGGTGGTAGTGGCGGCTTACTGCTCGGGTAGCTCATGCGCTGGCTCCTTGGGGAGTGATTTCTGTGGTTGGTAGGTGTATTTGGACCTTTCTGAATGGTCATCGGGTCATGCTGGGGATTTTGTGGGTGCTCATCCAGCTTGCTTGTTTGCTGGGGATTCTTTTGTTTTTGACTTTTGGTGGTGATCATCTGATTCTTGCGGATGTTGAAGCACTTGGTGGATTTGATGAAGACATAATATTGAATGGATATAGTTTAGTTTGTGAGTGTGTAGATGAATAGGCTAGAAGCTTGAACTTAATCTCTTGATAGACCAATATATTTTGTGATAAGCGCCTTAATATGATGCATCTCAGAGAAATCATTTTTCTGCATGAAAAACTAACATTTAAGCATTAAAAGAACAAACTAAGTTTTTCAATCTGTTGAAAATGATTTTCAATCTGTTAAAATCACTTAACATAATAAGTGGTCATACATAGTCGAAATTTCAATTGGTTGAATCACAGAATCAACAGGTTAAAATGACTTAATGAATTTTTCAATATCAAGGTTTCGTATTATCAATCTGTTGAAATGTTTTTTAATCTGTTGAAACAGAAAGACTATTTTTCTATCTAAGAGTCTGCAGGATTTCAATATGTTGAAATGATTTTCAATCTATTGAAACAGAGAACTATCATTTTTCATAAAGCTGTTTCAATCCATTAAAAACTCGAATCAATCGATTGAATGAAGTTTTAAATGAAATCAATCGATTGAATCGTCGTTTTAATCGATTGAAATGTATTCTGATCGATCATAATTTCATTCTGATCGATCATAACTTGTTCTAATCGATCATAATACTTTTCTAATCGATGATAATCGATTCTAACCTGTTATATTTTCATTCTGATCGATCAGTTGCATCTCTGAATCAGTTTTTGATTGAGTAAACGTTCTGGTTTTCTGTTTTACTCTATAAATACAGATTTGATCTATCTTTTGATACATACAATTTGAGAAAACATTTGAAATCAATCTGTGAAGCTATCATATCCGTGACTTTTTCTGCATTCAAGAACTTTGTTATATCATAAGGTGTTTTGATCAAGATTGTTGTTAATCAAAGAGAGAAAGTTCTAAGTTAGAATTGCTTCTGGACAATTGTACTGATAAAGCTTCAGTCCAGATTTTTTCTTTTCATACTCTTTTGTAAAGTGTGTTTGTGCAGGTTGGAATTTGGATCTGCACTTGTTACAGTAACTGAATTTGGTTACTGGGAGGTTTTCAAGAGGCTATCTTGTGGGTTTGCAAGATAGTTCTTGGGGTAGATTGGTGAGTATCTACTGGTTATAATTTTCACTTGGTATTAGTGGAACTTGGCGGATTTGTCAAGAAGCTGGATGTAGCTTCGGTATAGAGTGAACCAGGTAGAAATTGTTGTGTTGAATTTCTTCTTTCATCTCCTCTATTTCTTGTCTATATACTTGCTGTAATTAAAATCAACCTATCTACACAAGAATTAAATAAAGATAATTCATTTTTCCAAGAGAAAGTAAGTTTTGCGAAAAAGTTTTTAAAAGTTCAATTCACCCCCCCTCTTGAACTCAACCATTAATTCTTTCAATTGGTACCAGAGCTGGTTCTTGTAAGTTACTTAAGAATTCGGTCAAAGAATGGCTGAGGGAAAGATGAATTTTTCAGAAGGAGCCTCCATAAACAGGCCTTCGCTTTTTCTTTGGTGTGAATTATTCTTTACGGAAGGTTAGAATGAAAATCTTTATTGAATCTCTTGATAGAGGTATTTGGGAAACAATTGTTAATGGTCCT